CCGGGCACGTCGATTCGGCGGGGTTCGGTTTTGATCTACCATGCGGAAGGAACCGATCGCTATGAAACGAGCAACCTACAGCTACATGAACCGAGCCTGTAGTCGGATGGCTGAAGATCGCCCCCTGTGACAACGCCAACGACGAAAGGTACCCGCTTGTAAACATAATGAACAACATTTCGGAGGCGAATCCAACGTGTATGCTTCTTCTCAGCGTTTTAGAAAAAAAAAAAAAAGGTAAACGCAAATTGAAGGGTCGTCGTGTGATCTCCGGGCGGAAGATTATCGATGGAATTTAGAATCGGTTGATAATTAGATAACGCCACGCTAAATTGAGATTTTCGTGGATAAAAATGAAAACGCCGTTCGAAAAGTTAAATTCTATTCGATTAAAGGATGCACCACTGGCGTCAAAATTTTCTACAATTTAAACTCTACTATTATTTATTTGTGCAGTTTTTTCTTTATAAATAGAAACTGAGATGTATCCATAACTGTCGTAGGTAATATATTCCATGAACTTTTATTTAAGATTATAAATTTTCTCGAATGGACAAAACTGAGATTTTTTCATCCTCCGTATTAATGGCTCGAATCGAATTAGCGGAGATTTTGTTCCTTCAGAACTGTCAGATTTAATTTCGTTTCTGATTTTAACTCACTCGAGAGGGTTTCCGTCAATTGGATTGATTTCGATTAAGCCCCCTTCAGCGGCTCAATAATATGTACATGGCCGGAACTCGGCGAGGAGAATTTCATTAATTAATTTCATCGCATCATCACGTGTAATGAAGCATTATATACGCTCGCGGGGCTTCATTATGTGTAATTTCGAATATTGTACAAATTTAAACGAGTAATCAATAACGCGTGCTTCTTGCGCTATTGAAAAATATTAAACGAATTCTCCAACTATAGAAACTTTCTGCTCCTCGAATCGAACTTCTGAACTTTGAACGTTTAACGGAATGGAATTTTAAATGGATATTTAAAGATTGCTATACACGGCTGCCGATGGAATTCGTCCGCGGTTTATTAAATATACCGCCTCGTTTATTCAACTCAATATCGTACTACATTTTCGCTAATTGCATTATTCTCCTCTGAACGTGTAAAATGATTATTTTAACACGAGCATTACTAGTTATTCAGATTTAATATTATTATCGTGTTTTGCCTCGAATAAAATTCCATGTTAAATTTTGTCTTAAATTCACTTAGAGAGGATACATTTACAAACACAGTGATGAAAAGGAAACTCTAATTCGTCGAGCATCGTATTTGTTGATCTCGAAACAGTCCGTTAGTAAGGAGCACCTCGATTTAACGTTGTCCAAGGGTCAATACGTTCTCCGTTTGCCTGTAGGGTATTCCGAATAAATTTGTCGGTGAACAAGATTTCACGCGGCACGAAGATAGGTCATGCTGTAAAAACGTACTCTTTTGCGCGCGACCACGTCCACCACAATGACGTGTGGCTACATAATTCGCAGGCCTGGAGACTTCCAATCGTCTACACTTCAAAGGGAGGCAAAACAGAGTGTACGTGGCGTACCCGTTCGAGGCCACCTTCGCACGCACGAATAGTCAGGTGGCAACAGAGCGCAAAGGGTTATTTTTAGTACAATTTGTCGCTCGAACGATACCATAAAGCGAACGCCGTGTGTGTACCGGCCTATAGAAATTTTCACGTGTTTGTACCCACGGCTAAACGTTAGTCGCGTCGTTAAATATGTCGAGCGGACGCTACAGAAAAAGGTCCGCTTTATAATCCACCCGTTTGGCCTTTCACGGAATTCGCGCGGTCTCGCTTGCTGGGCATCGTCTGACGAATTCCCGCCAGCCTAAGCCGAGAGCTCGAGTCGTGTCAAACGCGAACTATTGCGCAGAGCTGAAAAGTTGGCACGCGAATCGTCGCGGAGGCACCCATAAGTGTCGCGCGATTGGCCACATTGGCGACATTTACGGAGGATAAGAACCGAAAATTGGCTACCTCGAACTATGACCAAAGATTCTGTTTCTGCTCTTTAGAGAATGAATATACCTTGAGCATATGAGAAAAGACGTTTAATTGTACTTGATTTTAATAGCGAACGTTCGTTCCTTATAGAATTCCAAGTCGTAATAGAATTAAAGATCCAATCTCTGACAGCGCACAAAGCACCTTAACCGCACAGTGACAACGTATGCCGCGGAAGAGGATTTCTCAGCGAGAAGACTAGACGAAATCTAACTGCGCCTTTGCAACAGATATAATTGGACCGCCTTAATTACCTCGTCTTGGGATACAGCCGTAAGACGGGCAGGATAACGCATTCGATGTGCATTCAGACACCCAGACCGGAAGATTAACAGCTCCAAAGGGAGCAAGAAGGATGTAGATTGCCTCAGTTGAGATATTAAGATATTCAGCTGATCTGGCAGCTGTAATGCTACTGAAATAAAGCGAGAGTGGGCTATCGGCTATTTCATTGAAAATTAATATCGGAAAGCGAGTCCCGTTTCACATTGCGAATCTTTTCGATTATTGCGAACCTTTCTATTATTCAATCGTTTGAATTAATAATTTAAGTTGGAATTATTTTCACTATACATTCTTTACTAAAAATTTTTTTGTGGAACTGGGCAACGATATTTGACTATTATAAAACACCAACTAAATCTCTTTAATAACACGGCAAGGGGTTAAATGAATTCCCACGTGCAGGCAAATGCTCGTTGATAACGGCGAACCAGCCAGTCGCGGGTGGCATCAAGAATTGATAACGCCGTATAATACAAAAAAACCGTTAAATATACTTTTTTATTCGCTATTTACTCGCGCGTATGTACGGTCGGATGCCTGTAATCTGGATTTACATTTTCCCGCGATAAAACGTTTTCCCTCCCACTCACCCAGACTATTTACAGAGGCACAAAGTGAGTGACTAAGAGTAGCAATCTCAACGGGATACGTGTTGCTATGGGACAACACGTTCCACGTATCGTTTCTGCATGCGCATCTATGTGTGTCCATAGGTTTTCACGTGTGACGCAGGTATGACGCAGTTAAGATGTGGTCAATGAAGCATCGGATAACGGTGACGGTCAAGGATGGAATATAGCGACATCTGCACCGACTAATCCTGACCAATAAACGTCCCATTTGGGATTATGAGTACAAAAGGAGCCAATTGATTGGATCGTACAGTACCGGGATTCCCCATAGGAACCATGTGACTCTATATTAGGCCACGAACTTCTGGGATATATCCAACAATACTACAGAGCAATAGAGTCTTTTCTTATTTTATTAGTCACTCTGTGAATTTATTATTATTAATTATCCCTCGTCGATGAATAGATTAAAGCCTTAATTCGGAGGATTCGAGTCAGGTGATCTACTTGTGCTAAGTTTGTGTCTACCAAGCATTCCTTGTTGATACTAGCGATAATTGCGAAACTGTTTAGACTATTTAGCACTTTTCGTTTCAAAACACGTTTCGATATCGTCAACACCGAGGTATGGACGCTTCGTGTTGACGTTAACGCCGAAAATATTTTAAATCGCGACGCTACGATAATTTGTTCTTCATTTTCTTGCATAATACTTAATACTAAAATTTTTGATTTTGTAACGATACCGATCGATTCCGATGATCAGCGCCGCGACAATTAAACTCGATCGTGGCGACTGTCATGTAACGTCTCACGCGAGAAAAAACGTCGCCCGCAAAGGCGAGCCAGACTTTTTAATACGAAACTCGTATGAGAATTTAATTCGACAGAGGACGAATGCGTGAATTATTCCGAACGAGCGGACAGCCGGATATTCTTTCGCTTGAAACGTCGCTAATTAATGTGCATTAATTCCGAAGAGGGAAATCTTTCCTTTAAGTTTACTAATAACGTTACGAGTTCCCTTCTCTCTAGAAAAAGAGGGTAATACATTCAATATGACCGGGGTAGATAGAAAATTAAGTAAAATATAGTAGGGGACGAAACGGCGTACACATACTTGATACGGTTAATTAACTCTTAACTAAATTGAAATGTGCTGTAAAATATGAGTTTCCAATATCAATTTCACGGTAACGTAACGTACCTTCTGCCATGAAGTATCGAGTATATCATTGAACACGTTCTTACATGAATTTGTTTTGCAAAATAATATTTAATAATCATACTTTTGCAACGCATCTGTTATTATAGAAACGTGTAACGTTCGATCGCAGAATAAAATACTTTTTTTTAGAATCAAATTTAAATTAAAGTCTCAAACTAGAGGAGTAGAATGCACGAGCAATATTGGATTTAATTATCCGATAAAAGTAAAAATATGTAGAAATAATATTGCCATATTTTCACCGGGAAAACCTCGTCGATCCATTTGGTATTAGTCACAGGAGAATATGATAAAAAAGTTTGTTAGTTGTTTCTCTCGAGTTGTCAATAAATGATCGATTCGTACACGCATGATGTGCCCCAACACGCGAGACACGCTTCGATGATAGATTGGAGGAACAAAAATAATAAAAATATTTGTTTAGTTATAGCCATTTCCACATTCCAATAATGTACAGTGACGTTGGAAGCCTGCGTACCTCGACTCATAGAGTTTTTCAATCTAAAAGAAATAAAAATCCAATGAAATTAGATGCAGGGAACGAGCAGGCCAGTCAATAGGTCCTATCCATCTGTTAGAAAATCGATCGTTCAAGAACTGTCTGGCTACTCGACTGAAATGTGCCGGTGAACCATCATGCATAAACCACATGCAACCCACGTACATCTAATGGATCTGCTTCCAATAATTCATGCAATTTTCTACTCATGAAATTGGCATAAGATTGACTTGTTAATCTCCCATTAAGAAAAGCAAGACGTTATTAACCATCGAGTAGAAAAACTTCAGTAAAATCAATCGTACTTGTTTCATAACCAGACTCTATTGGAGGGTAAAAATGGCTATAACTCAGAAAGGGAGTAAAACGAAAATAGAAAAGATCTGCTGGTAATACCTCATCGATGAGTCCATTTGCCGCTACAGAACGAAGTGCTCCGCAATTTTCGTTTCTCTCTTCGGTACCTGAAAAGTAAACACGGTAATTAGAGAGAGCGTAAGAATCTGTGGGGGTCAACTATGTTTTGCCCTCGCGAGTGTATTATACTAGGAGCAACTAAAAGACTATCTGGATCGAACAGACCTAAACAAAGCGTCGATGTTAATAATCAGCTATGAAACGGAACGTAACGATGAAACGCATCGTGTTATTGTAAACGGTGCTTTACACCGGCCTCGAATCGAAATCAATAAACCGATTATTGGCCAGGCTGAACGGAGATTACGTTGCTTTGAATTGACACCCCGACACGAGCCTCGCGTCGATTGAATTTCGCGGACTTTCTAGACGGCCGGATGTCCGCCCCAGTTCCTTTTTCCACGTCTGACGGCATAAAATCACGATGAATGTAATCCGTGCGGACACTCCGCGAAGAATCGACCTTTTGTGGAGCACGGGGGAAGTTTACCGTGCATTATCCACCCGCGTTATTTGCTTACACGCTGGTAAACAATACGGGGGAGGGGGGAAAAAATAACGCGTCGCTCAAACGCGACTCTTTTTAACGCCATCTATGTATTCAACGGCAAATAAGTGACTGACAAGTATAAATAGGAGATTATTTTTCCGCGCGGAACGATTTCTCGCGTGCATGGATATGTTCCGGGCAATGGCGCGTCCAGTGGGCATTTCAAAACAAATTCCCTACCTTCCACGTGCTAAAAAATATCCATTCTCAAACAGCGTCGATCCTAAGTTGATATTTTGGACCAGACAAAAATCATTTCGAAAGATTATTTTCCGAATCAATTGATACAAAAATGCCAAATTTTTCCTTTGAACCAGAGTATATAATTATAAGAATACACATATACTGTCGCGTTAATGATGGACAGAATTTTTTATCTACATATAAATTTCGAACCAGATAAACAAGTGTTATATTCGTAACTTGTTGAATACAAATTTAATTATTCGAATGAAGTAATGTCTTATTCGTTATCAGTTGTTCGAACGAAATATATTTTCTGGTTGGTCGCACAGAGGGCGTCGAACCGATTGATGATTTGCACCGTGTCGTTCATTTTCGCAGACTATACACGTAGCTCGGTTCGCGTGGAAACAATGGGTCAAACTGTGGGACGTATGCCGGACACGTGGGACAGTTTACTGGAGGAAAAAGATCGCGTGCTGTATTGGAGCAGGGAAGTCCTGTCGCGGGTAACTGACAACGTTAATCAAGAAGAATCGTTTCAAATGGATTACAACAACGAGAAGATCGACAAGAAAGTCGACTTGTGGATAGAAACGAGCCGAGCACGAGTCGACAAAGTTCGAAGTAAACACCGCAACGTGCCGGAAGAATGTAAAATTCGCGTAACGAGAGAAATCGAGCAAGTAATTATTTTTGTTATTCGAACGCTGTTACGTAATAACGATCTTGTTTATCTGACACCGTTGGTATGCAAGAGAGTATCGCAGAAATATTGTTACTTTAATATTCGTCGTTTTTGTAATCGTTTATGTTCTTCGTTTACCGAAGGATGGTATAAAATATTTCTTTAATTTTTTATTTTTATATTTCAATTCAAATTTTTTCCGCTGACAAAGTAGAAACTCGCGATCAGATTTAACATTTATTAAGGCACATTCAATCGTAACGTTCATTTAATCACAAAATGAGTACGTTTGTTTTCGATCGTTGACACAAACATTTTGTCGAATGTGCGAATAAATACGTTGCCGTGATCAAACAATGAGTCTCGTTAATACGAAATTGGCAAACGTTTGTTTAGTGACTGCGCGATTTAAACAAAATGTAAATGCAACACATTTAAAATGAAGTATTTTTATTATTTATAACGCAAACAAAAAGTGAATAAATGTACTGATATATTTTATTACATGTAGATAAAGGAGGAGTTGAAGACGAAAATGAGAAACGATTACCAACGCGCATACGCGAACATAAACAAGCTCACGAATAAAATTGACAAACTAGGAATACAGCAGCGCAAGATACACGGGAAAATTCATGAACTTGAAAGCATTTGTGATGCCGACGTGAAAAGATTCCAAAAGAAATTCGGCCCTCTAAGGGTAAAAACGTTCAAGAACCTTGAGCTGGGCAAAAGATTCCTGTTCGAGGATAAAAGACTCAGACTGAAATTCGATAAAAAAGTACTGATCCTTACGTTTTTATTTTTACAATCCGTACTCGGAACAGTAAATACACGTTTCGTATGTTTCTGTGACACTAGGTTTACGACATCGACCACAAATACTTAGTTAAATGTGCCAAGCGTATTAATAAATTAATAAAGAATATTGAAAATCTTAAGTAATGACGATAATGAAAATAGACATGGAAATGACGATATGGAATGACGATAAGGAATAACGAAAAACGCTGAGCGCAAAAGGTAAGTCACATTAATGTGTACGTAATGCCGGCAACGTTACAGCAAACCGAGCGTCCGTGTTATTGAATCTTGGTTCGTATACAACCATGTAATGGACACGATATGATCTCAAATAACCGGAACGTTTTCCTAATAATGTTATGTCGTGCTCGATAGCTTCCGTTTGCCACGTTACGAAACATCACATTTCTCACACGGACAAATTTACATTAATTGAGTTTTGGCAACGGGAGAATAGAGCTTGCTAAATGATTGTCTAGCAAATGGGATATTTCAGGAAATTGTCGTTGCGCCACGCAAAGGCAACCATTTAAAATTATGCCTATCTACAGCTTCCCTCGACTCGTTATAGCGTACGGAATTACTTAACCTTGAACTTGTTTACACTTACGCGCGAGGAAAGAACTGTTTCGACGCAGTTCGCGATCGACGATCCAGACGAAGTAAATTATCACCTCGTAGATACGCGAGAAGCGAGATTAACATGTATCTCAAAGTAACTAAAAATTAGTTGGTACAAATAGGACCAAGGAGATTCCATGGCTCGAAATAAGACGAAAATCAAAAATGACGAATTAGTCTCTAATGCAAATTTATCTCATCGATCCTATTTCTGCCACTAATGCTGGACCACCCTGTACAGAACCGTGTATTTGTGTAATCGAAACAAGTTTTTTTTTTTATATAATTGCACTTATGAATGCATGTACATGCCTTAAGTATTAGCCTACTTAACTTAATCAGTCTTAGATTATTTGTACTTATTTTACTACTTATACCTACATTATAATGATAGTCTTTGGTGGAGTAGGAACGTGTCAATGATAAGGAGCGCCTTATCGAAACAAGGTTGTGTACTTAAAGTGTTATACCTGCCATCTACTTTTTCTACACCATACTTAATGAAACTTGTTAGCAAATATTCTAACTAAATAATTTCAAAACAGTCTACAAACCACTTATGGTTAATAGATAGATGGCTACTGATGCCAGCGATCGATTCTACCAGAGACGCGCCTGTATACAGGGTGTACGTTATAACGGTATCCACGATTATGGTCCCATTTAAATGATCTACCCTGTATACAAAGCGACGTTTTACGAGAGGTTAGAGAGGAAGAAGGAACATAAAAGATGTGAATATAAGGCCACGCCGGCCTATCCTATTACCAACATCGTTAGGGTAGGCTCACTCGGAGATTCTCCGAACCAGGAAAACAGAATACGAAAGGCAGTAGTTATTAAGCCACTTATCCCAAACACTGGGATCGTTTCGAGCATTTATTAAGCTGGCCTGTTTTTCTAGTTTAAATTTTAAATATTCAGTATTAAATTATTAACGAAGAAATTCTACAATCTAAAACAATTGTTTATGATCCAATAATATTAACGAGTTATGGAACATATACTGCAACGTAATAATTATAAACTGGAAATATTCCAGACTAGAAAAATCGAGTAAATTATTGCTGAATAAAGGTTTACTTTTATAATAATATATTATAAAGAAGGATCAGCAAAAAATTATAGTACTTTTTATTTAAACCTCGACTTCGTGCCTTAAAAATCACATGATATTGAAGTAGATTTCAATACCAGAAAATATATGTTTTTCTGAATATGCTCTAAATGGGTCACTGGTTCTGAATGTGTTAAACCAGTGCTGTCCTGGGATCTAGTTCCTCTCGACCCCCGCCCGGAAGGCAGTATTGTGTTTATATGGGCACACAAAACGCGATATCACTAGCGTTCATAAATACAGTAACAGAACACAGAGTGGAGTAAGCTCGGAAGCTTATTGTGGACTGCACTGGCTTAAGCGTATGGAGATGGCAACTCCATTACTACAGACAAACAATAAAAATCTACTTCTTTAAACAAATCGTCACTTGCAATGAAAAATGGACTTTATCTAACGGTCTAAAGTGAACGAACCAGTTTACTGGATAAAATAGAACTAGCAAATTACATGAAAAAAATTCTCACTTCATCCGACAAGGATTATAGATACTATTATTTAATAAGATGTGTTTACTGTGTCAAACTTCTATACGTATACTAGAGGACATTAAAATAAGTAAAAATGCATTAAATGTCCGAATTTAAACTTTGAGATACATATTTATCTCCTGGAAATGGTGATGGCAAAAATTAGTACTACCTGTGAAAGATTTACGCAGGAATCTTTATTTGAATGCATATGTTGACGTGTTACGGTCTCTAATTATCATGGATATGCGTTTCTTTCGTTTCACGAACGTAAAAAATGTCTGTGTTTTATAAATTTTTTCAGGAAATAAATTAATGTTCATAGAAATAAAAACGCGATTATTGCCAAAATCGCGATGCTGCGGAAGCACAACGGCGGTCATTGCAAGCCGGACATTATTAGGAGAACTGAAAACTCGAAGAGGTCTTTCATCTCCACTGCCTAAGTAATATGTACTGCCATCTGTGAGTAGTGAACTAAAAGTATAATGCCAGGCGTTACTACGTCTGAATATTCAAAGTTCCAAAAATTCCTTACGAATTGCGATTTCTTTCTTATAACATTTTTTAATTGTTGCGTTTGATGGTACGTCAGAGTACATTATTCATTATATAGACCAACAAATGCTAAGTATTCAGTAGAAATATTTACGAAATAACTTGTACTGACAATTCGGACTAACTTTATAAATCTTTGATGTCGTTTACTTATAACCAGTAGTTTTGGGACAAAATGTAGAAATTGATGCTTGTAATAGTTCGTCTCATCTAATTTTCACTGACTTCATGCATTGAAAAATTCTTTCAGTGAAGAATCGTAATAAATATTCACGTATCTAGACTTGTTAATAAATAAAGCGACGAATTTCATTGTAAAGGAATATTTAAGTTGCATTGATTAAATAGGTTTCGTATGAAATCGGCTATATTTAATATTCTTACAAAGAAACGCGAACAGATTTATTACGCAACTTAATAGTTAATATAATATACATATATGTATGCTTACCACGATTCCCATGCAAAATCTTCGTTCAACAAATGTATCAGTCTCCGCCCTCTTCTTAATTCTTACGAAAGAACATATTTTCTCACTACACCACTGTTAAGAATACCTGCGTTTCAAACGTATTTATTCATGGCTTCCTTTTTGTGCGAATGTGAATACTATGGCTAAAAACTATGTACATGCTACAATAGCATAACGACGATCTTTGCAAGCCGGATGTTAGCAGGAGAATAGAACGCGGGAAGAGGTGTTCTTCTTCCTTCCAAAATGTAGTATACCGCGCCATCTGTGACTAGTAAACTAAACAAATATTGTCAGGCATTTTATTTATTTATGTTATAATACTATGTACAATATCGCAGACGAGCGATAAAATAGACTGAATATTTAATGTATTTTTTTACCTGATATTTGTGGGGTCTTAATCCCATTATAAACAAAAAGTTAAAAATCATTAGCGTGTGTCTTACATCCGGTGATGCTCAACTGGTTGAGCACTCCATACGCCTTGTCCGATGCAGCCAATCAGAGGCGACGTACCATCTAGAGATTATTCTCTATTCCTATTGGCGAAAATTTACCGCCAAGTATGGCAGCTAGAATAGAAAATTATTTTGCGCGGCTTTGTGCATAGTTACGTTTAATATTATTTTGTTAAAAGTAATTATAGAATAGCTTGAGTCGTGTCCTATTTTTCATGTTGGGGAAAGGGAATCGAAGCCCTGTCTTGTCTCTTTGATGTTCTACAACACGCGAGGAGAGGAAGGAAAGAAACACATGCTCAGATTGCGCTGGAAAGGAATGGTTAACCACTTTCCTTGCGAGGGTTTGAACAGCATTCAAATCGCTTTGTGTTTAAAAGAAATTATTGGGATCTGATGCTCATCTGTTTCTAAAGAAAATTGCGAATGGAAATGTTTTTGAAGAAAATGGACTCTAGTGGTGAGCAGTCTAAATCTTTAAAACTTCTTTAAAAAAGAAAAAGAAATAAACACGGTATAAATATCGTACAGTTTAAATCCTTACTAAAGTTAAATTTTATGTTCTAAAAATATCTGTACATTTCGTTATAAACAATCCTATGTGTTAATAAGATCCGTGTAGCTTTCTTCTATGAATTTATTAATGTAATATATAATGTAATATGTTCTTTCAGTCTTTATATAATGTTTTATTACTTTTGTTGATTTAAAATATAACTGTTCTATAATATATCCAGTTGGTTGTAAAACTAAGGAATCTGTTTGGTATACCAATTATTGTCAGTTTTCATATTGGTTGAAATTAGGTTTATGAACTTGTCGATGTAAAATTGAAATCTGGCTTGTCTTTATTTTTACTGTTAATTGTTCCCTCTAGATTCCATTTTTGTAGAATGATACAGTTCACAAAGATGTCAGGAAGTAGTACTTTTAAGAAATCATTTTCATATATATTATTAGTTTAACAGGTATCGATACGTATGATAGAAAAATATGATCTATTAGTTAGGCAATATTGGATGTTAGTTGGTCTGAGTCTAGGTATGTAGCTATTGTTCCTGGCAGTTGTATATTTTGATTTTCATTGCCATGTAGTTTATGTTACAGTCTAGCTCCTTAAGTTAGTAATTTCTAGTGTAAGAATAATGTATATAAAACAAAGGGAGATAGATGAAACTTGAATTCCACCTATCTCTTTTTGTGTTTCTGCCTGTAACAACTTTCTCATGGTGAGATCTGATAGTCATTGTTAATTGGCTGCAAATTTAGAATTATTTAGGATATAAGAGAAAATTATTGTACTTTCTAAGTTTTTGTAAAATTTAAGAATGTAGAAAACTTCAAATGTTACAATGAAATTAAACACTTTGTATGTATACCTTAATGTTTCAATTAATGTTTCTTAAATAGGTGGCCTCCTACAGCAGACATGATGCTCTTTTGCTCGTGCTGGACAGGTTTCCAGCTATGCAGACTATCCCCTATGAGTATTTATTTAGTCTCCTATCCTCTGTTTATAAAACTTTTGTATATTGAGGTTTAAAATATTTAGATCTTTGAAACACTTTTCTGCAAATAATGCTAGTGCATAGATATGAAACAAATAGCCATCCATATTTTCCATACATTCACTCCTCCAGTTTTATTCGCTGTAGTGTCAGTCTCCTCATTCGTTTATTTCTAAGTTAAGGAAGTAAAGCTAGATTTGTCTTGACTCTATATAAAAGAAATATTTCAGTGTATACCTTATGTAAAAAATGGATCCCGCAATTACAGCAGATATTAGGATGAACGCAATAATTATTGCGAAAATACCGACATATTTCTCATTTGGTAGCCAGCGGAAAAGAAACCGCGTTGCTTGATCTTCCATCAGATGCGTACGCCAGTTTGGAGGTCCTAGAACTTGCAAATGTACAAAATTTCGTTTGTTTACGTCTCGTTGGCCCGAGTATAGTTCAAACCACCTCTATTTAAAAGTTCACTATTGATCTGATCAATAGAAATTTTTACTTTATTTCGTTCTTTGTATCTCATTACCTACCTTTAACAGAAATTATATTTGTTATCCAGACAAAATTGAAATCGTTTTGTTTGACAGTGCACTGCCATAGTCCATCGTGCGTTCTATTAACTGTTGAGACATGCTGTGTATTTGCAGCGATAGGAAGCGTGATACCATAATCTTTCCATGTTTTATTTTCGATCGACCAAGATATTTGAAGCTCTGAATATACATGACCTAGGATCGTACAATGACATACTGTGGTCATGCTTAGAGTTTCTCGTATTTGTACATTCTTCTCTAAAGGAATTACTGCCAAACTTATCACTTTGATGATCGAGTACGTTCCATCTATCCGGTGCAAGGTCATTGCATAAACGCCAGAATCATTTGGCGATGCTTTAATTATTTCTAAAGAAATATACAGATAATTACAGCTTGTTTTCATTGAAATATTACTACGTACCGATATTATAATCTTTCATTTCCACTCTGCCAGCTTCTTCTTGCACGAAGATGCCGTTCAAAGACCACTGCATTTCAGAACGAGGAGATTCCTCGCTAATCAATTTGACAATATCAGAATCTGAGTCAATTCTCGTCGATTGAAATTCTTTTACAACGAGAGCAGTGTTGTTAGTTCGAATCCTTCGGTTTATCAGAGTTAATGTATCTGTTTAAAAAATGTTGTAAATTTATTAGATAGTTACCCGCTTAGATAAAGAGTTTACCTTCTGTTATGTCACCGCAAAGAATTTCGTTGCAACGACCCGTCATGGTATTCGGTCCTAAACATGGTTCTCCCTTAAAATTAGCTTTCGGAGAATCACAGCGTCGTTTTCTAGTTCCCGAACCACCATTACAACTTGCACTGCATGTCCATGGTCCCCATTCCGACCATCCACCGTCGATTGGAGGTCCGTCTATGTCTGTGGAAATTAATATTTCTACAATAAATAAAGTATTATTAATAGATAGACATGCAATGCTCAGATTCATTATTTTACCTATCGGCATACAATTCACTGACCAAGTGGCCCAACCACCAGGATCAACGCCAACGGAAAAGAAATAGAATATGAGAGGGCTAACGTGTTCATAGAGAAGCACTCTTGTCGCGTTACAGAATACTTTAAGAGTATTATCAGACCACCTTGAAATTTTAAAGAACTTATATCAGTGTTTACACGAAAAACATTGCATATTTATTTTGTCAAGCCTTACTTAATTGTGATGTTAGTCCACGAATATGTCGTAAATAAAGATCTTATTGTCCTCTCTATATGGAAAATTGTTACTTTGGGGTACGTGTTTCTTGTGAACTGTATCCACTGATCCTTTTCGCTCAGTGTGAGCGAATAAAACCTGTTTAAGAAGTACTTATATCAGACTATGTGCCCCCTAAAATCATTTAACTTTTTTCTAAAACATAAAGTAATATTTGTAGGGATTTTCAACGACAGGGATTAATTACAATTATTTTGAAAGAATATTTAATATGAAAAAAATAAAATACAGTTCTCTATTATCGTCTTCACTCTCTCAATATTCTCGCGCAACTGAACTCACTTTTCATACACGATCACATTCAGTCACCGATTCGTACACACATGCATTCTTATTCCGAAGAATTATCACGTGCTCCAAACACTCCTTGTTGTCCCACATATTTATTAATATTTACCCTGGTGTTGCAGGCAATAAAAACAAGGGTATGTAAATTGTACCCTTTCCTCGAATATGAAACGTCACTTGCGATGGATGTGTCACTTCTTCTTTGTTCCACGCTGACAGCGATAAAATTCTAACATAACGATTTGTTTTCGTGTTTTCAATTTGACAATCTGTTAACATTAAGAATTAACAAAGAGTACTACACACAGATCTTTAATACTAACATCATTGCTTTAATCTTCCAAAATAATAACACATTATGAGCACACCTGAGTCGTCATTGAAAGAAATGCCAACAGCTCGTCCTTTTTCACTGTTATAATAGTAATACGTTGGTAAAAAGGCATTATCCGGATCGTAATGAGTCCATTCAAATAGCGGCGTAGGTTCGTCTTCGTAATAAAGTAAAATTTTTCCTCGGGGAATACTGAGTATAAAATTAGTCCATTTCCCTAAGAAAAGTAAGTGTGGCAAGGTCTTCTTTTTGACCAAAGCAGCAGCTGCAAGCGAACAGAACGTCCCGTTAGAAATGAGACTAAATAAATCTCTGTCTAACCAGTCACCTTCGTTTTCCGATTCATAGTAAAGAAGTACTTTCTCATTGTCCAAAGCTCCTATTTTAAGGATGTAACGCGATTTTAACCCGTCGTCGGCTATCAGGACGAACGTAATAGAATCTGGTTGATCTGGTTCCCAGGCTTTCAAGGAAAACCGTAAACCTTCGACGCGATATTCGGGTAAAACGTACAAACGTCTGCCATTAGCATCTCCTCTGATAAGAACAGTAAACTGTTCTGTAAATTGAAAGTAATGCAAGTAAATTCGCTAATATTAAACAGTGTAGCGTAAATCTTTTACCTGATTTTTCACAATCTTTTACATTGCAAACATCTTGCAGTACCAAAGGATCCGTAGTATAACACCAAGTGCCAGCAATATTACGCGAGGGATTTCTGCAATAATTGCTAGCACTTTTAGCACTGCCGTCTGAATATAAGCTATCGTTAAAATACTCTCGATTAATGTTGGCAACTAAGCTAGCTTTTTGGGTGTTTGTCGTCGGACTTGAATCGTATTTTGTTAACCACTTGTCGCAATTACGTCCAGAACGCGTTTCTGATAATGTACCTACGTAGTCGTTTGCGGTTCCAGCCATTCGGCACTCTGGAAATTAAATATGATAGTTTGTATTTATATTCCGATATAATCTACCTTCAGATTGTTTACCTGAAGATCTGCAGTTCCGAATTGGGCAGTACTGCTTTGAAATAAGTTCTTTTTCTTGAGATGTAAGTGCGTAACAATAGGGACCGTTGGGATCGCGAGTAGGATTTCTGCATTTATTCAACGCTTTCACAGCAGACCCGTCAACAAAGTTTTTATCATTTTTTTCTTCACCGGGCACCTGATTAAACAAATTGAACCGATTAAAATTAGTATTCTTACGATGATAGCTGTTTATTGGAACCTACAATGTACCTCTTTCGATACCCACGGAACACAAGGAATTTCATTAACGCTTGTCCATTGCGTACCGTTATACTCGTAACCTTTTGCATCAGAGATGCAATTTGGTAACGTCGGCTCTTCTACAGCATCTGCTGCTGTTATTTCATAAAAATAAATTTGTTGTATTATTTTTTCGGAGTTTGATTCATACTGATTGCATAAAAGCATCGTTACCTTCTGGAGAGCAAAACAGTGTCCAGTGCGCTATAGTGTTTTCACTTCCAATGCTAAACCATCTTAAAGTTACAAAGAAATTGTTATTCATGTATAAAAGCTCGACGGCTGCTCTGGTTTTTTGCAAAAATAGACGAAAGTGTTCTCCAAAAATGCTGCAGGATACAGTATTATGTGTAAAGTGATAGAAAATGTTGTATTTCCAATGGTCGAATTTATCAACCTGATACTGAATTCTTTCCAAACCCAAAAATCAAGTATGCCTCTATTTGGAATTTCTTTCAAATACTGCTTAACTGACTCCTTGGTTTCCTGGTATATTAGTGATATTATATCTTTGCCTATTGTCACCTACATTGTCACTCGATAAAAGAACAAACTTTCAACAATTGTTTCTGTATATCACCGGGGGTAACTTAAAATTATATTTGTTAGATCTTTACCGTTATTGAAGGGTATTCCAGTGTCGGCGTTTGATATAACCGAATGAGAATATTCCGACGCGCGCGAACATGAAATCGCACATCAGCCGTGTCATTATTTCGTTGTATGGCCCATACTCTGGAAAACTCAATTCCAAACGTCGTGTGAACCTCGCAGTCTGAAAAAGGAAACGAAGAGATATTTATTGAGGTTGAGAAGTTAAATGACTACAACGAAATAAGTCTTTATGTGGTAACTTGATTATGGAAAACATTAAAAACGTACGCTTTTGACAGAACTCGGTGCTCCATAAAACGCCTGTCCCTCGAAGTCCATAATGGAAAAATGTTCCTCGATACAGATACGTGATAGCGCGTCTCCTTTTATATTCTTGCATAAATAACGGCTTGAACGTACCCTCCAGACCCACAGATATGAAACCACCACCCCAGGTCATCCATATCCTCGTCCATTTTGTACCAAGTAAAATTTCGGGAGTGTTTTCGAAGTTCTCTTCTTCCTGGCACAAATTCAATGACAATATCGATCGGTTATAGTTCAAGCAATTAAAGAGGAAGATTAAATTTAATGGAAATTATACTAACATTGAACTTTGGATATGTCTGGCGACTTCCGAAATTTGCGAATGATATTTCGACTCCTGCACTCCACTCTTCGGCTATTTTGATAGAGGAAACTGGGACTGGTAGGATACTAAGTAAAATTCGCGCCTCTCCCTGTAAATAAATGTTCTACACTGTGGAGAATCCAAGAAAAATAGAAATGTATCGTGATTATTTTATTTGAACAGTTAATACAAAAAATACTGACTCTTTTTTCATCGCTAGGATTCCATAATTTTATCCAAAACGAAACATGACCGCTAGCTAGATTTAATTTTGTTAGTATACCGTAGTTGGATACGTTTTTGGTAAATGTGAAGCAATCTGAAGAATATAGATTATTACAAACATATACACGGTATACGACACTTTACAAACTACCTTTATCGTCGCAGAATTGTGTGTCGCAATATTCTTTCTCGACATAATCAGAATATTCCTGTTTAACGTAGCACCATGGGCCGCCATGGTCGCCTGTTGGATTTCTGCAAAAACTGCCGGCCTTCTTGACAGACTCGTCAGGGAAGTCTTTTCCTTCGAAATTTGGGTACTAAAAGATTGGACCAAGTTACAGTTAAATTTAGTGGGTTAAATATTTAATTCACCTTCGCATCTTCAAGTTTGTGGTGCTTGTGCCACGATTGGCATTTTCCCCCTGACGCACTAATTTTTCTACTTCCGCCATATTCAGCCCCTGGTCCCGACACTTTACATTCTAATCGATTATAAGGAAGATAGTGGGAAAACATATACATATTAAAAATAATTTGATGTCTTCTATTCGACCAGAAACATTTCTCACAAAATATCATTTTCATTACCTTCAAAATTACATAAGGGTACATCGCATTTGTCATCTATGAGTGAAGGATCCAAAGTATAACACCATGGACCTTTGACGTCTTCTGTTGGATTTCTGCAGTAATTTTTTGCATTTTTTATCGATCTTTCGGGAAAATCATGATCGCCAATATCTGTACTGACCTGATATAATAGTTTTAAAATCCAATGTTTCGAGTCATAATAAAATTTGATTAAATAAAGAGTAATATGACCACCCCCATATCAAAATTAATTAAACTAACCTCATGTATTGGTTCTTCCGAGTACCATGATTGACATTGAGTATCACCAACTGTTTTTGCTATTGAACCTCGGTATTCTATCCCTTTATGCGTAAGTTTACATTTCATCATATCCGTACGCGACGCATTATGCACTGCAAAATGCAAAATGAAAATACGTAATTCTATTTTCACGGTCTGTTTCGTTAATAAAATAACATTGTTTATTCTTCCTTACCTTTCTCGATCAAGGTTAACGATATCAAACAAACTTTAATTACAATGTTAAGTTTTGAAGTTAAAGTCGTACAATAGCTTCTTTTGCAATTCATATTCATCAACAAACTAATATTCTCAAACATATTTAATTATTACATTTTCAAGTAGTATAAAATTAAATATATTTTGAAATAAACTTTGATACAAATCTAATATTATTTACAGCTGTTATTATGAATTACTCATGAAACAACTGAATGTTTTAAATACAAAATACAATGCTGAACAAAAGTATTGACGTGTTTTAAATATTAAGACGCACAAAGCTACCAAACGTCCCGCGCCTATTAAAGTCCTTCACCGAGTTCATCCCCTGAGAAAAACTTGGCCACCCCTGGTATAACCCATAGATGGTCGAATGGGGCTACCCCTACCCCTAATCTATAGTTTGGGGAGCTTCAAACGAGAGGGTTCGATTTTTTGGTCAAACGAAAATATTTGCACGTTCTTCTTCCGCCATAGATGGTTCTTTTTCATCCCTTAACCCTAAATCACTATTCACAAGCACGCAGAGTCGATGTCATTGCACACTACTTGCAAACAGTATATTACTCAGTTTTCACATCAATGGATTTACAAAAAGAATAGCCGAGGGAATAGCAAGAATCAATTTATTTTTGTCAGAAGAATATTTGATTTCTTGAATACAATGTACTTCACTAAATATCTTGTATGTAAGTCTTGTTGTACTTTACTTTTGTGTAGCACATGTATGTATCATCTATATATCTTACATTCGTGTATATTGAATATAGTTTTATGCATACGTATATAGTACAATGTGTGCGTAACACTGAATTCATTATAACATGATCTCTGTTGTCACATAATGCAGGGTCTACACAAGCATAACGTAATCTCATCTTGAACAGAAACGTTGATGGTGGACGGGATCCTATAATTGCATCGCGAACATCAGTGTTTTATTAACTATCGAATTCTATTGCTCTTTATTGCAATTTCAATCAAATTTCAAACAAGATCTGTTCGATTTTGCATACAGCACGAGCGAAGTTAATGATACCTATATTGCATTGTCGTTGATTCTTTTAGAGTTTTAATTCAGTCCTTACAATTACATATCATTTACAGCAACGCGAAGAATTTTGTTAGAACAAATTATTTTGTACCCTGCGAGTATTTTGTGTTCGTTTAAGGGTTCCTCAAAATGGAAGGCATCGAGGTTCGGTTCGCAGTTTGTTACGCGCATAATCGCTCCATTTTCGACCGCGTTTGCGACGCGGTTACATTACGCGTGTGTAGACACACCATGAAAATCTACAACAGAACTTTTGTACTAATTCAATATTTTCGTAAGAGTAAATTCATATATGACTCTGGAAATGGACGTACACCACTTGATATTTACTCCCGGCTTAGTACACCTTGAGGAATTTTTAGTGAGAACATATACATTTGTAATCTGCTGCTAACTGACCTATCGAAAGTATGCTTAGGGTGTTTCTAAGTAAATGCCATATCAAATAACTGCTAAATGGTACGACATACAGGAAATTGTAAAAAAGCTGCAGATATCTTGGCTATATTAAAATGGTTCTACATGAGTTACCTTAAATAATGACTATGTTCTTTCCGATATAATAACAAATAGCAATAAAGAATTGGAAAAAAATGTGTGCATATAGAAATTTGTTGTATATTGACTACCATTTAGCAACTATTACATACCACAGTTATTTAGAGACATTCTTATATTACTGCATCTTTTATAATAATACTTGAGCAGTGCGTATATGTTAAAAATCTAACTTAACGTTTGCCTGTTAATACAATATTGCAATTAAAGTACATCGGATAATCATAGCTTTTCTCACTGAAATTTGTCTACACTACAGTCAATGTTCTTGCCACACTCCATAATCTTACAAATTGTAACATGAAAAAATTACTTTCTATATTCTCGTGCATAGAAACTTCGTCGATAGTTTTAAAACTAAATTGCTATTTTTAACATATCATTAAGTGCAATAATAGTAATTCAACTATATTCGTGAAGATATTCCTACGCAATGCAACCAAAAAATTATATTCTGTCTTGAACATGTATTCCAAAAATATATAATTAATACTGCTATTGATTAACTATCAGAGTGTATAACATTATGTTGAACTAACTTGCCCGTTAATGATTTCATTAAAAAAATAAATATAAGTCAATGAATAAAATTCTGTGTACTTCTTAAAAGTAGGTCAATAAAATTATTCTTATGGTACTATATGTATTTAATAATTCATTAACAATATTTGTAAACATATTACGAATGTAAAAACTCAAAAACAGTTACATTTAACCTTCCATTTAATGTGTAAAAATAAATAAACAACAAAATCTGTTATTGTATTAAATCAGTCTTAGTTCAGTCTTATATCGTGTAAATGTAACCAATGTCTCGTTTCAGTTCATTAGCGTCAAACTAAATCAAATGCGAGATTATTTGCATTTTTCAAAGACTGACACGTTAAATTCTTACGTATTGTACAAAACTCATATTTCGCGTGTTGGCAAATATTATTAGATGAAGCGTAATATTGATTTAATAATAATTTGTATCATGTTGAAAAGAAGAATGATGATGACGATAAGATAAATTATAAAAGCAAAAATGAAAGTAAAAAAAATAGTAATCATCGTAATAAATAATAAAAAGGAGTAGCAATAATTTTTGCTGATTAATACATACTCGTACCAAAATGCAATAATGCAAGTTAAAAGTACCTTCGAAGAATGATATGTTAAAACATTATTGAAACGTTGATCGGTATTAAATTGATAAAGTGTTGCATTAAACATGACAAAATTCATACTTTTCTTTCAGTTCTTTCTGCTCTTGCTTTGTTAGTTCTCGTTTTTGTTTATGTTTTTTCCTTCTTAATATTGTCGCATTTTTCCATGTAATTTGCATTCTTTCGTAAATACATATGCCCATAAACAACCTTTTAACTACAACAACCATGCATACATATTTATATCTAATATCAAATTGCATTTTAGTCTCTTTGTATCTTCAACAGGAGACAATATCATAAACTTATACGAATAGTGAAGCATTTTTACGACGCTCGTTACGTTAGTATTCTATACTGTTATTTCTCATTCGACACTGTTCAGTCACTAAACGATAAGATATTTCTTTTATGTACATATAAAAGGAACATTACACACTTTAAATCGACTATAAATAGAATTCATATAAAATAAGTAGCTGCCCCGATATTTGAGAATTTTTAAATAAAATAATGCAAGCACAAGTGAAACAAAGTTAATATGCATAGTAAAAAGTCGCAATATTTCTAATTTGTATCTCGTCATTAAATTGACTTTATTAATTACGTATCTATGGAACAATAATTAGCTTGTCTAATAAAATATTGAATCTGACATACATAAAAGTCCCATTTGCATCAATAGTAACGTTTATTATATCAGATTCTTCGTCATTTCTATTCCATTACTTTCAAATCCCAAATTCTAAATGCGCGTTCCAACCGAATACTGCATAATTTTATTTATCATATAATTTTCCCAATATAGTTTGTCTTTTTCATCTGAAATTGACGTCCGATAAAACAATTAAAAAAATATGGTAACTGTTTCGGTATTAAAAATAAATAAAATATAGTTTTAAAAATTCTTCGACGCGGGTTTAGGTTTTCTACTATTTACGACTACTTCATAAGATAGTCAATACCGAGGAAACCATCCTTAACTTCGTTACACTTTCTTTCTCTTTCGCGCCTTTCAAAAATTTAGATATTCGATTACTACGTATGAATAATGCGAAAATAATATTCTCTTCTGATGGGAGCCTTCGTAACGATATGACTTCAGAACAAAAAGTTCATTTTGTACTTATTGCTTGGCACTCAAAGTGAGAAAACCCGAAGCTTCAAAAAGACTCCATACGGATTTCCATATTATATACAGTCAGTAGGAAAATATTGCATCTAACAATTGATCCGTGGGCTAAGCGTCACACGCTTAATTCTAAAATTGAGGAAAACAGTAACATTGTGCTTTCATCACTGTCGCATATTCAACACGTATAAAATTTTATTCTCATATGCCAATCAACCAATCTAAATAAGAAGAACTCGATTATTACCAAAATCTACAACTACGATTCTACCATCCGGGCATAAAGCGATACCCGATGGTCTGTCCATTTCGTCCTCGCCTTTACCATAGCTACCGAATCGCCATTTTAATATACCAGCCGAATCGAATACTTGTATTCTGTGATTCCTAGAGTCGGCTATAATAATGTTACCGTCGTCGTCGATCACTAAACCCTGTGGCCTCAGGAACTGTTTCGAACTACCTGTGCATTCGCACTCGAAAATTCTAGCGTGCATAAAATCAGCATCGATTATCACGATTCTGTGATTATTGAAATCCGTTGTAACAACATTGCCTTCCGGATTAAACGCCACCCCGCGCGGCGAGTCGAAATGCTTCCACATGTTCGGAGTCGACTCGTAGCCGTACTTTCGTAAAAAAACACCCTCCGGGCTGAACAATTGGACACGATGATTCCTCGTGTCGGACACGACTATTTGGCATTCAGAATTCACAGCTACGTCCCAGGGGTAATTAAATTGCCCGCAACGACATCCCTTCTCGCCGAAATATAAAAGAAATAGGCCTTCCATTGTCAGTACCTGCGAAATTAATACGGATACGTTGACTCTACCAACTAGACATAAAATATTCAATATTTACGCAACTCCTAATTGTTGTAAATACCTGTATACGATGATTATCCTTATCAGCTACGATGATACGTCGCCGCGAATCGACTGCTACGCCAGCCGGACGATCGAATTGCCCTGGCGCGGTACCATGGCTGCCAAATCTTCTCACGAAGAAACCATCTTGTCGATATATCTGTATGCGATTATTCGATCTATCGGCGACCACTATGTGCCCTTCTCTATCACACGCTACACCCCACGGTCGGCAAAGATTATTTTGTGGATCTCCGTCGTTCCCGATGATTTTCAACGGCTTCACCGACAAATCGGAGTTGCGATTTATCTTAACTTTAACCGGAAACGTGTTCGAAGGGATTGGCCTTCCTCGTGGTCCTGAAGCCGGCGAGATCGAAAGTCTCTGCCTGGGAAATATTTGAGGCGAATTTCCACGGCCTGTTACGGCACGACGATCGCCTATAGGGCCCGGATTATTCACTACAACAGCTCCAAGATTTGCAATAGCATTAAGTGTCGTCCCCTCCAAACCGTTGAAAGAAATCCAGTTTTCTTCTTGCGAGGGAAGATATTGTCGACTTTGACGAATCTGAAAAACCTATGATTAACGAAAATAATATACTGAATCTAAAATATTCATTACACTTTCTTTGTTAATAATATATTTAATAAATAACTAAATTATTGAAATTGGGAGGTGGTCAGTATTGCAAATACAATAATGTCTGTCAAGTTGCAGAATTACCGAGAACTGGTTTCTACAACTTGAAAGACAGAAAAATGAAACACGATTAAACACTTGATCCTTAACTTGAATTCCAAAACACTGTTCGAGGAAATTTATTTAATAATTAATGATAATAATATCACCTAGTAATTAGTACATATTGTATTAATACCTCGGCTGATGCCATGTCCTTAGTAAGCAACAAGTTCAGTGGATTACTAGCAAGTGTTTTAGACTCCATTGCTTCGCTAAGCTTATCAGCAGCTCGCGACAATCGGGAGATTCCGTTTCTTAGTCCTTCGTCTCTCGCTTTTAAAGCGGCAAATTTAAGAAGTCGAGCTTTCTCAATTTTACTTAACAACTCCTTCTCCCTCGTTTCCAAAGCAGATGCTACTCTTCTTACGCACAACATCACGTCCGCTGTCGCTTGCCTTGCTTTTTGTTCCAAAATTTCTGCTGCTATCTGTGCAAAAAGAATCATTAAATTGACAACTTTTGTACGTATGCTATGATACAAATATTTTGGAGTTAGATTTAAATACTTACTTGTACAGCATCCAGTTCCTCCCTGAGAGCCGTGATTCCAAGTTTAGCCTCTTTTAATACTTTATTCGCTTGCATTCCAGCCCCCTCGACAGCTTCCATTAAATTTATCGTTATGTGTCCATGATGATGATGAATTCCGCACTCGCTGCAAAGAGGTTTACTACAAGTTTGACAATAAAATTTGTTAGCGTCGTGATGCACGTTGCAGAATAGAGGTAGTTCTGTAGAATTCAAATTTGGTATGTTGATTATCGGAGGACTTGGTATTCCTGTAAGTATGGCTAGCATTTGATTATGCTCATCCTCGTGGTTTAATTCCGTCGTATTCTGGAAAGAAATTATTAAAGTACAGAGATTTAATTTTTATTAATTTACAATTAATTTTCATAAAAATCGAACATTCTTATTTACCGAAAATTGACCCGCGGAACACGAGTCGCAAATTGTGTCAAGGCAATCTTTGCATTCGTTATTGATGGAATTTCCAGTTTGAGAGAACTGCGAGGAAGTCGATCCATTCAGGATATCGCCATTTACGACTTGCAGTAAACTGTTGATTAAGGAGTCAACGCTGAGATCGTCTGGTGATTGACGACAACAATGAGAATTTGTGCTGCTCCCCGAAGATACAGTACCGGGTGAACTTGCATTGAAATAGCTCGATTTGACAAACTGCCATGGAAATTTGTTTGACATCTGCGATAAAATAGATAGTAAACACGTATTAAACATTGTCCTGGCAGATGAAAACGAGAAGAGAATTTACGTGTACTTGAACGAAATAAAAATCTAGTTTGTACCTTACAGAGTAGATTTACATTTACATCGTGATCCTTGTCTTGATGATCGTGGATGTAGCCCCCGGAAAAATTCGTTTCACGATTGTAATCCTTCTCATGACTCATTGTGAGATCGATGCACGATTAAACGCCTTACAGAAATTTAATATTAGGATGCGGACTCGTCGTGATACCTTCGCCTGAAACAGACCAATAAAAGTTTGCTAGAATTAGAGTGTGACTAACAAATTGCGGAGTTATCCAATGTTTATAAACGTTATTTTGAAAGGGCTCGCAAGCTCTGTTACACAGTTAAGAGGGGTTCGTAGAAAAAAAAAAGTTAAGAACCACCGATCCAGGAGAGCGTTTTATTATATTTCTGAGTTTCTATTGTAACAAGCAATAACAAGCAAAATGTGTATATAAAAAGACAGAAACTACCATAAAGCTATACATACATAACGGTACGATAAACACAACACTACATAGAGTGGGACCTCGGGACCGATTATCCGCGGTCGTGGTTATTCAGGGTCTGGTTAATCCAGGGTTCGGTTATCCGGCATAGCAGGTCATACCTAAACGATAGAATTCTTCTTTCGTTTAGTTCGTCACTTTCTAAAATTATGTACAGGACATTCCCGCTACTTTTGTTCACGGAGCATAAAAGACGAACGAGGCAGGTAGAGAAATAAATTTCGGTCGACATTACTTCGTTAATTTTGTTTCCCCGAGTCTTAACTATCCAATGGGTCTGGGGATCGGTTAATCGAGGCCATACTGTATAAGCAATAAGCTATTTATGAAGCTATACGATAATAAAAATTACTGAAGGACCAAAAGTAATAATTTAAACGCTTATTTATGTCGTTGGATATTTCTCAGCGCGTCGTTTCAATGTGACCATTTTTTATTAACATCACAATCACGATTTGGAATCTATACATATATCGATCTCGATCGTAATTATGTATAAAATGATTAACGTTCGCTATATTCAATCATAATTACTGCCGTTCCGGTCGGAGCGCTGCGGTCTTATTTTTCTTCCGGATTGGTAATGTTACAATTGACACAGGAATGGTAACCGGGAGCTACGTCATATAATACGAGAATATATTGAATATGATCTATTTTGTACTTTGATAGATTATAAAACGAAGCTTAGAGTTCAAGACAATTTTAGAACAAAGCTACAAATTTTTGCAAGCTAAGAATACGTACGATTTACGCTCAGTGCCTAATTTACGTACTTATTGTATTTCGTCTTCAAGTGAAATATGTGTCTGTTTTGTATATGTAAAGTGCACGAAATATAATTAAACAATTTTGAAGACTCACATCACAAATTTTCACTTTTGGGGGAAGGGGGAAAGGGGAACATTCTTGAATTATTCTGTCGCATTCTTCCGGGTCTGGTAGTTTCTGGTAGAATAGTGTAAATGTGTGTGTCTGGCCGTGTGATTTCGGAGTAAACTCGTCGACGAAGCGTGTCGATGTCAAATGCGTGCCGTGGTCGTGTCCCGAGATGAAAGCGAAAGTGAGCGACTAAAGGGAATAAGGTACGAGAAAAAGACAGATGTACCGAAGAAGAACTGCCACCAACCAGGAAATAAACAACTATCGATACCAAAAAAACTACTATTTTCCAAATCAAAACCATATTGAACAAAATTAGTTCTCGACCGAGACGATTAAAAAGAATTTACCTTTGTCGTACAATTTTAATTTAGAAAACGAAGTTGAACAAGTTTAATTGTGCTACTTTATAAAATGAAGAATCGGAAAATATTTGTATACAAAATATTTATTTCATTCATAACTTTCTCAATCTAGCAGTTTAGATTCGCATTAGATTTAAAGAGAAAATACTACACGTTAGCTTGCAAACTTTTCCCTTTTTCTTTTTCCAGCAGCTGGGCTGCAGCAGTTAGAGGGTGCTATCCTTGAAATTGCCATGGCGACCAGGGTTAGACCTACTATTCTTTTCGAGGGTCAAAAAGAAAGGGAAAGTGGAATATCTGTCGTCTGAAAGTGCTAGTATCGTATAACACAACGAATCGTGAAGAATAATAAATATCTACGAGCTTCCGGATAATATAGTACTCTAATTGAACCGTCAAAGATCATTCATATAAATTGTAAAATGCAGAACGATGTTATTCATTATTTCAAACACGAATTCGGGTTAGAATAATGTAAAATGGAACTCGGAAGCAGTCTCAATTTTAACTATAAAATATATTACAATTTGAATAGGAGTAGCGTATTTAAATACAACTTTCAAAAAATTCCACTAAATTCTCAAGATTCAAACGTATAACGTATTTAGAAATTATTTTATTTCAAAATATACCTCATATCGTACGAATATCAGAAACATAATATATTTCAAATATTTTATTATACAATTATAAAAATAAATTGCGTAAAATTTCGCATAAATATTTATTAGAAACATAATTCACATGACGAAAACGAACAAATGTTCCTAACTTTGTTTTGACTGTCGTTGACGATCTCCTTTGTGGATATACTTTCTCTCTTATTTAAATTTCAATGTCGTGCGAGGAGAACATTTTACGACGTAAATAGCGAAACGAAAACGATCGGGTTTGACCTATGTTAGTAAGCAAGTTTCAAAATCCAAATTATTACGGTCTCTTCGGCTCGATAGTATCACTCGTTAAAATTCGATAATCGTATTTATTAATTATTTATCAAAGAGTCGAAGCAAATCAATGGAATAAAATAAAATTTATATACATACCTTCGTCACGCCGAAACGCTTTATAAAATACTAAGCATTCAGTGCGTCATTGGTTTTGTTGGAACAAAAAGCACTAATTATTTCACCTTTTAAAAGTATTGGACAATCATGGGACAGCGATAAAGCCGTACGAAGCGGACAAATATCAGAGCTCAGAACGTTAATTTGTTTTTAATTGTTCGCTCGAGACGTGTGGACAGTCGCGAAGATCCATGAGCAAATTCACGGTTATTGGAGCACTAAATTAATCGGTATCGGGCACGTGCTCGTCGAATGAAATATTGAACCCGTCGTGTCTCCGATCTGCACTGAACTTCCGAATTCGACTACTGTACTCGACTAAATCCCGTTGAAACTCAACGCCAGCATTCCTCCCCTCTTCTCTGCCACTAAGCCAGTGGTCCTCTCTCGACCAATCCAAAGAATGCATTTTTACCCCTCATTCAAATCGGTGATTCTCACCCCCGCAGTATCGTTTCTTCGATGAAGCTCACAACAATTTTTCTTTTTTCACGTCCCACGCTGTCTTCCTATATTCTTTCAACGTAACTCTCCCTTTCCGTCGTATCGAATGATCGAAATTCCCAAGAGCGTGATTACGAGAATAAACGGCGATAGTTTAACAAAAATATTATTACAGCGTACGAGAATTATTACATTTCACGTTGTACCGATATTTCTCTAATTCAAGATCAGTTATCCGGACAATACTCTACAGTATATTAGCTTCCATTATTAATCTCTGATTTATCATACTAATTACGAATCCAGTCATAATTAAAAATTTCTTGTTGTTTTCTTAACATTTACAAATAGTAAAATTGTTTAATGTAAAATGCCATTTAATGTAAAATTGTTTAATGTAAAATAGTACTCTCATGCACGATCAGTTTTCTCGAAATAATTTTTTATCTACTGATAATTTATTCTACCCCTATGCATGCTTTGGAAACTCTAACCGATAACCAATAATATTTCTCTAATTGCACAAAATATTAAATACAAAGTAAGCAAACGATCAAACAATAAAAATGGACGATTTGCACTGTCGAAGTATTTCTGAATAAATATCGATGGAAATCGTGTTTCTTACAGGATTCCTGGGTGTACGTGGTTTACAGGCGGTTAAGGGTGAAACATTCGTAGTAATCACAGTCACTGTCACAAACTCTGTCACTACCGCTTCAAATAATATCTTTTTCGAGCATACGTACATGTGTGAAGCGTACACAGATATTCTTCCGTCTACTTCATTCCGTTAGGTGAAACGTAGCCCCGTCGAATCATTTAAGGGAAGCTTGATCGCAGCCACCTTCTACAGTGTACGTATGCTGTACCTACCTACATAGTCGGCCATCGGGGTAGAACAATTTTCACGTAAGGGAGGCAAGGGCGCATGCGCTACAAAATCATGAATGGAGCCACCGTTCAATGCGAATCAGGCTACACCGTCACAGTCATACAACCACTTTACTTATATACGTATATATACCCTTCCAACCTTGAGACAAAGTAGGGTTGATCTGACAAATCTAGTTCTATTCTGTACAGAAGCAGGTTGAATGATCAATGTCATCCTGATCATCATAAACGACTTTAATATTACCATTACAATCACAGAAAAATAAGAGAAATGCTGAAAAAATTGGACCCCAACACAATTCAACACATTAATTAAATTTGTCAGTTCTTCGAAATGTAATAGTTGATATTTCACATAAAATTGTTACAGTTTGACTAACAGGTCTTTGGACAGTAGATTTTACTTTCACCCCTTCGGTTAGAATGCCAGTATTATTATCGATTATACGGCGCCAGCGTACGTGGGATGTACAATTTTACTCTAAAGCAATGAATCCAAAATGTACTATAGATTCTCTTGCAGATGGTTCTATTCGTTCAACCGGTGAAACGACATTTCTATAACTAGGGTTTTGAATAATCGGTCCAGGGAAACTAAAATTGGAATCATGGGGTGAAATAAGAGTACACAAAGCAATTTTAAAATATGCATGTTTATTGTATGAAAGGATGATTGGTAAATGAAATATAAAGAACGAATTAATAATTCCTGATAATACCAGAAATTCGATCGAAAAAATATAAAGTGTAGCGTAATATTTTAATATTTGAGTTTAAATGAAACATCATTTTAAAGATCATAATTTATCGTAAAGTCGTCAGCTGACGTAGGAAGAATTAACGCAACACAGGTTTATGAATGGACACCGAAAGTGTGAGGATCACGTGGCATGGCGCTGTAGCGCTTTAACGATCGAGAACATCCTGTCTCCTCCCTTCCTCGAGCTTTATTACACCTTTCTCTCATTTCTCCTTTGATGGGACAAAGCACTATAGAATGTATCACTTAAAATATTTGGCTAGACCCCAAATAATTAAAATTTCGCGAATGCCAAATATATTCGACAATTGTCTGGCAAAAGGCTTTCTCGTTGTTTCATAAGTGTTTTACTTTATTTCATGAGTAGTTATTGCGCATTGGTGTAGTATAAAAAGATCTAATTTTTTAATGAAACAGAAGTGAAAACAAAATGTTTGTTTTTTCAATTTTCTGGTTTATTTTATCACGCTTTGTTGTCAATGATAATTGTATAAATGCGGAGTTATATTATTGGTTGGTGAATTATTGTTTCATTTTCTTTTAATAATTCATTCATTAATTGAAGCATTATTCAAAAGTTTTTAAATTTTCACTGGGTGTAGGAGAACGCGTAGGCGTAGAGAGTAACTCAGGTGTAGGCGTACAGTAGGCGGATATGTATGAAGGAAGGGATAGGATCGTTGAATAGTCCGTGTTTGTGGCACATACATGTACGCGCAAGCGTACAACCCTGTTATACGAAACGAAATGTTAAATTTCGTAGGTATTACACCAATGGAATCAATGAATTACGTTTATATAAAATTAGCAAAATATACAAAAATGTTCCACGTGTTTAGTACATTAAATGTTATGAATCATTCACATATTATATCTCTCCCTATGTATTAAAAAAGTAATGTGTGCCCATTCATCTGTTTATGACATCATAGAAGGTACAGATAGGTATGAACATAAAATAGCAACTTCAAATTGAACGTATCGAAATGTAAATTCACAGACATGGCAAACTGTATCTAAACTGTTAAAATTTTTAATCGAGCTAAGAACAGCGGAAAACAGCTTGTAAATAATTTATAGAACCCCGGGTTATAGAAAATAAACAAAGAAACAGAACAGTGATTAAAAGAAACCATCAAAAGTCAGAGTGGAGGGTAAACAGAATAAAGCGAAAATGTGCGAAGGCGAGAACGACATCTCTACGATATTAAGAATCAACTAAAAAAAAATGGATAGTGGGGGCATAGTGATGATACTGGATAAGCGAAGGGTGGTTGTGGGTGGAAAGAGGGGAATACGTTGATAACATCTTTACTATGCCAAGACTAAAGAAAGGAGAACGAAGGTGTGGCGCCGTGGTGGTGAGTGGGAGTATGGCAGAGGTTATCGTAGCTCTACGCAGAGGGTTGAGCATCCAAGTCGAAATAAATACTATAACGTAAAATTAAATGCAAATTGAAGTATGCAGCTATTACTTTAAGATGTAGAGATGCATTTTTCATTAGCATCGATGTATGATAAATACACTACAGAATATAAAGCCTTAGGGATGGGTTAAACAATTCCATCTGGGTGTACTATTTGCCGTAGTGTTTTTTTCCTACGATTTTACTGAATGGGGTAACACTGAAATCGAGTGAACGATGTTGCCTCCAAATCGAGTGGATATGTGTGTGTTTTGCCGAGGGAGTACAAACTTCTATCGGATGATTCAAAAGTGGAATCATTAAATTTACTGGTACGTCTTACAAAAAATGTATTGCAAGAATATATTTTAATAAACGTATCATGATATATAATTTTAAATTAAATATTCTGACGATAAGACCTGTACGTTTAGTACATTACCCTACAAGGTTTACCTACTGGTGGTAAATATTTTAAGGGTTGATTTTAAGGGTCAAATATCATCTTCAAATGAAAATTAAGAATGCAGATATTGCGTTTGAGAATTTTCTACTCTTCGACCTACAAGAAAAATTTTGTAATGAAGTAATATTCCGAAAAATTTTTTCTCTACGGCTGAATATATTTCAACGAAACTTCAATTTCATTACTTTTAATTTTTCTTCTTAGTTTTTACTATAAAATCGCTCCCTGTGATATTTGCCACTAGTAGGTACACACACGCTGTGTACGGTGTCATTAATTAATATATGAATAAAAGTTCACCACTATTGAATCATACTGTACATACTAGATCTACATTTAGTGCGTGGGCGTCGTATCGGAGGCGTTGTGGCAATTTTGCTCCTGCGGTGACCTTGGAAGCGCCCACGCCTCTGAGATACACCACTGAGCACGGTTTTCGTTCATCGACGTCCCAACCATTCTTCTCAATTTTCTATCTTACTCGCCACCCGTATTTCCTACACGTAACCGGAAGTGCGCACGCGCGACTGAAACGCCAGAGCACACCCTTCAGTTCCTGTAAATGCGGAAAATGTACGATTTTATAATGATCCTTGCATTCACTCGTTCATTCATTCATATTCGAATCAAATTCTTATTAAGACTTCCAAATTCACAGTAACATAGTTACCCTACGTTTTCGACTTATTTTTTCGAATAAAATCCCTTATCATGTCTTTAGATTTCTAAATATTTATTATATCTCTTACAGATACTGTTTCGCACATTAAATGACGTTATGTGCAGTATTCTCTTTTTGATATCGTCGTTTGTTATAGGAACAATCACAATTTCTTTATCTTTTATGTGACCCCATAAAAATAAACATTTAATGCCATCGGGTCCAACAATTTTATTAACAAACTGTGTTATGGTACTATTATAAAAATCAAATATTATCTTTTAGGTGACTTTTTCAGATCTCGTGGGTCTTGTGCTTGGTAGCATTTATTTGGCAACACCGCTCTTACTCTGTATGGGCCCTTTGCTTTACTAGCTAGCTTCCTGCTCTTGCCAGACGATAGGGGGTTGTCGTACGCGTGGAAAATCCTCATGAACACCCTGGCCTTGGGGGACAGTTTAGGGTAGTGTC